AAATAGCTAAAAGTTTCATTTACAGTTTAAATATGCAAATATTTGATAAAGTTGTTGCACGTGTAACATTCAGCAAAGAGCAGGATTTTAGTGGTTATTTTAAAAATATCTTACATTTCAATTTTTGTGTATAATTTTATATTTGAAAACTTTTTTTTTTTGCTGAACAAATATGTTTTGAATAAAGAATAAAAAAAAATTTAAATAAAATAAAAACTAAATTTTTCTTTTTTAAAATTAAAATATAATCTTATATGATTATTTTATCTAACATACTTATAATGAAACATTTAATTTTAGATTGACATTATTATCAAGTATTAATAATTTATATGATGCCACCCAAAAAAATAATTGAAAGAGTTGATGATATTTTTTAGTGGGAAAAATAAATTGTACTATTCCCAACACCAAATTTGCAACTATACAAGAAATTCTTCAATACTGAGAAAATCTAAATCTGAAGTTAAACTGAGTTTTATTGTAGGATATCCAAACAAAAGTGGATCATTCTCACCAAATTGTTCTACCAGTCAGTTACATTGCTGCATAATATCTAAACTTGTAGTTCCATGAACATGTGGCAGATTTGAAGTAATTACAACTCAGCAGTTAAGGTAATGATAGATCAAACTGTATAACCTGATCAAAACACTAAAATATATTTTTAAGTTTTTATAAGCAATTAATAATAATAATTCCATTTTATAGGATCAAGGTCAAAAAAATGGTGCAGGACTAGATAAAGCTAAGAGCTTAAGTAAAAGAAACAACCCTGCTGAAGTTAAAAAAAGAAAGAACTTAATAGAAAATATGAAAAAGGTATTCTGGATTTGAGAAAACCCACTAAATATGATTGAACAAAAAAGAAGATAGGCTGAGAAACCAATATGACAAAGAGGAAGACATAGCTTTTCTTAAGTTAGAGGTAAGGAAAGGAAGGTTAGGGGGGATTGGATAAAAGATTTCAGTACTCATTAAAAAAAAGTATAAATCTAAATGTAGTTATGATAAATTAAACAATGTATCTGATTCTGAAAATTCAAGTTCTTTTAACACCAATAAAAGCAATTCAATTGATAGTGAATTTGAAATTGAGCCATATATTGATCCTAAAAATTCTGTGAACCTACCCAAGAATATCTTGCACCATACTGCTCACACAGCAGTAGGAGAGGATTTAACTCCACATCAACATACAGCAATCCTTAGCAGTATTATTGTCAATTCTGGTAGATGAATGTCTGAGTTTGTAAGCTCTAACTCTTCGTTATACAGAGCAGCAAAGAATGCTTTGTTAATGGGTGCAAATAAAATCAGAGACCATATAAAAAACATTTCTAAATCTTAAATTTCTCTGTTAACAATTCATTTTGATAGAAAAATTGTGAAAGAACTAACTAAAAGAAAACAGTTTTCAAAAGATAGGTTAGCTGTTCTTGCTAAGATTAAAGTACAAACTGAGTTATATGGAATTCCAGCAATTGACTCAGGTTCTGGATAACACCAAAAAAAAGCTATAGATGAACTTATTTCTAACTTTAGATTAGAGGATGAATTCACCGTCTTTGCTTTGGTACCACTAGTATTAATACAGATAAAGCAAGAGGAGTTTGTAACAGAATCATTGTATACTTACAGCGCCCTATGTTATTAACTGCATGTTGACGCCATATTTTTAAGCGTCATTTACTCATTTTCTGGAGCTTTTTTGAAGAAGTCATACTTCAGGACCAAAAAATAAGTTATTTAAAGTTCATAAAAATCATTGGAATGATCTAGATACTGAAAATCAAGATTTAAAAAGATTATCAACTCCTATTGATTCCTGGATTAATGAACAAAGGCTGAGTGCTATTCAATTTTGCAGATATATAATTAGCACTAAAGTTTTTAAGAAGTTGAGTAATAAAGCTTTATAAATTAATTCAATTTAATCTAATTATCCCTTCCTATTTCCAAAAAATAGTATAGTAAAATAGTACTTCACTTATAATTTTCAAGTTTTACAATTTTGTAGTAAGTTATCTAAGATATTATAACTTAGGAAAAAAATTTATTTAGGATGGAAAGTTTTGTAAAAATTGTTAGGAATTGGCTGAGCTTCATTGATGGTACCATCACACATTGACAGATTTAAACTTCGCAATACTGGAGGTGTTTATCATGCCAGATTAATGGGTAAAAGTTTATTTTACCTAAAACTGTTTCTACTTATGGAAAAAATCCCTGAAATTAATGAAGAGAGCAGGGATGAAACCAGTTAAATGACAAAATTCCTTTCCATTTTTTACACTTATTGGTTTCTTAGAGCGGAGCTAAGTTCAGCTGCTCCAAGGTTTTAAATAATTGTTTTAAAATAAAGATATAATTTTGAATAAATACATAAAATAGGTATATTATTTATTTTTAAATTAAACATTGAAAAATCTAAGCCTAAACTATTAGGATATGAAAGCATACTGGCAGATGAAAAGGTTTGAGGAATCGAATAAAGCTAAAGCTCAAACTGTTTTTAAATCCATAATGCATACTTGGTAGTCATTATACTTGGTACATTGACCCATATTTAGTCATTATAGCAGTTGCAGATCAGAAATGTAAAGAACATGTTTAGGGGCGACATGGCTAAGAGGCTATTTGTTCTAAAAGAAGCCCCTATAGAGGAGTATTCTTTAAAAAGACAGGTGTTGGATGAAGACATTCTGAAGAGCCTAAACCTTTCACAGGGTGAAATTCCCAGTTTAGTTTCACTAGTTATAGAGAAATCCTGGCTTGTATTTGACATGCTTGGTCATGGAAAAGCTGAGGTTCAATAGATGAAGCTTCCTCCATAGTATTGGATTTTAAATGATTTCTATCAAGAATTTGAAACAGTCATCATAAATGTTGATTTTGTAAATGATTGTTCAGTAAGAACAGTCAAATTAGTTCAACAACTTGTTAATAAAGTACATTTAGAAGAGAAAAGGCAAGATACGTTTCTTTTTACTCATGTGTACAAGTAAAATTAAAATGGTAGAAAAAAGTTGGATCATGCCAAAGCTGCACTTAATAGTATTATTTATTTTCTACTTTTTGATCCAATTTATTTTAGAAACACTTGTAATTTTTTTGTTTTTTGTTTTGTATTTGTAAAGTTTTTATTTTATTGTATTCAAACAAAATTTACTGTTTTAAACAAATATTTTATGTCTTGATGATTTTCAATGTTTTATCATTCTTCTCAAAGTTACTTAAAGAAATATTTATGAAAAGAACCCCTTAAACTTAAGTTGTTGAACTCATTGCTATGTTATTGGATAGTTTATTTGTTAAATTAGGTGAGATTTAAGGGTCCCACAAGCGGGGTAACGTTTTCCTAAAAACGGGCCAAAAATTGATCCTTTTGCTTTCTGTGGGTACCTTTCCGATGTTCAAAAAAATTTTTCAGAATGGAAAATTATTTTTTTCCGATGAAGTAAAGTTTGACTTAAATGGGCCTGATGGTTTTAAAGTTTAGATCTTCAAGTGTCAAGACAAGTTGTGTTTATATCTTAAATAATCCTTAAAAATAAATTTTATGTTAATTAAAATTTCCAAAAAAAATTGGTTATTGAGATATAACTTTATATTTTTCATTGTCAAATATAAAACTTTATATTTTTTATTGTCATTTTTTTTTTCTCAAAAGCAAGTTCTGGCTCTTTGTAATTTTTTTTAAATACTTGCCATAATTAATGTGCTATTGTAGTTAATAAATGTCAATAAAAAAAAGTTCTTTCACTTGAGTTATAAACAATCATATTTATAAATTTTAGAAGTAGCAAAAATAAATTTCATTTCGCGGTAAATGAAATGGAAATATTTTAATGGAAATAAAAACAAAGTAGAAAAGCAGTTTTCTTCGTTTATTACAATTTTTACTTTGTCAAAAGTCTAAAGTTGAACTAAAATGTAGTGCGAATCTTTTTTATAAAAGTGCATTTATTATTCGAACCAGATATCTTTACAAAAAGAACTATACAGGAACATAAAGTTAATATTAATCGTATCACCGGAATTATAATAGCAAAACGCCAAACCTTTTTTGCTAATATCTCAATAAATAATTTGTTTTGGTTAATATAATAAACTCAAACTCATTTTCTTATATTTATTTACAAAATAAACATAAGTTGTCTCAGCATTTTTGAATCCCTTTAAGTATTATTGGCATTATTTGATGAAAAAAAAAGATAGTATTGCTATGATTTTGGAGGAAGGACAGTTAGGGTGCAGACTGCATTTTGTTTCCACGGCAAAATTCCAATATGTTTTATTGCAACAAAAATGAATGGAAGAACTTACGAAGATCTCTTAGAGGATGTTTCAATCGAGTTTAGTGAAAGTTTACCTACTAAGAATATTCCAACAAGGTGTGGCTATTTTCATGACACAAAGTGTAAAACAGTGGTTCCAGAAAAAATATATACATGTTTTGGATTGACCATCATATTCACCTAACTTGACCCTATTAAAAATTTATGGGGAATATTGGCACAAACTACATATGGAAATTCTCAAGTAAAAACCTTAAAACTTTTATCTTACAAGCATTGAACAGTATTTTAAAGGTTTGTTTGGAAAATCTTATAAAAAGTATGAAAAACTAAATCTTTGAATTAATTAGTCTAAAAGATGGCAGTAAACATTATTAAAATCTAGTAATTATATATATATATATATATATATATATATATATATATATATATATATATATATATATATATATATATATATATATATATATATATATATATATATATATTTATATATATATTTATATATATAAATATATATATATAATTATTGACTTGTTAGTAAATAAATTATATATTGATAAATATAAATTATGCTAGTAAATAATTTTTCAGCAAATCTTCTTCATAAATAATTTTTTTGCCATAAGTTTTTTATGACATTCTTAATTTATTCTCTTTTTTTTTATTTAGTTGAATTTTTTCATTTATTATTTATAGGCATTAGGAATGTTATTTTGGCACAAATATGATGTTGATAAAGCTAAGGATGACTTAAAAAATTTTACTCCCCTTCCAGGTTTGTGATATTTTTTTAAAATGTAAAATTAAAACATAAAGAAGTTTTATTGATAAATAATATATTTTAAGTATGAATTTAGCTTTAGTAAAAGTTAATTTATTAAACTACCATATTTTTAGAATGTATATTATTTAAAACATATTAATATATTATTACAAGGCAAAATAATAATAAGTTATTGTTAGACTCTTATATTAAAAAAATAGTTGATAAATTATCTCACACTGAACAAGCATGTTCTGGGGAAGTCATGGTAAATAATATGTTGCTGTGAATATGACTGTTAAGGGTAGTCTAAAAACAGTAGACAGATATTTGTGTGCAATATTGTCAAGGAAGACATTGATAACAATATGGTTGTTAAAGAAGTTGTACAGAACAAAATAGTTACTATTGTTTTCTCAGTGTATACATGCACTGTGGCCATAAAACAGAGGAATGCTATTAGATTCTTCCAGGAGATGGTGTCAATATTATTGTCTATTTTATATTTTGGATCATATCTCCATGGATGCTTCATATCTCCATGGATCTTCCTTTTAATGTGCTGCAAATTAGACCTTGATAAGGTCTAGTTTGCAGCACCTTTAGCGTTTATAATTATGAGGCTTTAAGATTTGAGCTCATTTAAGATTTTTTGCATGATGCTAAACTCATTCTATTGCATCATTTTTCTGGAGATGAGGTTTCTATGCAGTTAGAAATGAGGTTTCTATGCAGTAACTGCAAGTTCAAAAAAAAAAGGGCATACCTAAGTTATCTAAAGCTTTTTTATTAACAAAAGATTGTTTTGTAATTTAAGATCAGTAGAGATGTGGATGCCTAGGTTTTTTTCAGAGGTTGTGGCAGCAAGTTTCTTTCTTTTGTAATATCTTGTCGATTGTATATGGTCATAGTCTACTGTTCGAGTCTACTTCACAATGATATTGACATTTATTTGTACTCTGGTTTCATCTTTGGGGGTACTAACAATGCTGAGAGTCTTGGTATAACAATATTTATTTTGCAAATCTTTTTCTACTGATAATGACAGGGAGGTTATTATTTACATAAGATTATAAGATTTTATATTATAAAAGTTTAATTTTAAGAATGCGCTAATAAATCTTCATGATTTTTGCACATTAACTTTTGATTTTGTATAGAAGTACTAAAAGTTAAAACATTAAATATTTCAATCTTTATTAAATTTAGTCTTAAAAAAATTGTTTTTTAAGATTTTAGTTTTTCAAATCAAACATAATAAAATAAAACACATTTTTCAAATATTATAATTATTCATAAAAGTTAATTTTATTTTATTTTAAAATAGGTTTAAAAATTTAATTTCATTAAGTTTCATTTAGTCATAAAAAATATAGAGACAAATAATTTAAAAATTTTAATTAAAATTTACAATTTTTTAGCATATACAGGCTTGGTCGGGAAGCGGGTGCGATCGCACTCGATATTTGACCACGGAAATTATATTTAGTTGCGAAAAGCCGGCCAGATTTTTTACGCGTTTTGAGAACATTTCAAAAACTAGCAAAAAAGCGCAATATGATAAACTGGACCGATGAGAGACAGTTAAAAAAGAAAAATAGCTTTTAACGCGAAAAGACTTTAAGCAAAATAAATACGATTAGAGCAAATATTTTTGAAACGTCCTCTTTTATAATTTTTTTTTTTTAAAAAAAGCGACATTTTTTGTATATAGTAACAACGTACTAATAATAATTGTTTAATAAAGAAACAAATGTTCTTTAATTTATCAAAGATTATATATAATTTTTATTTATATACTCATGTCTTATTTCCAGTGCTGGAAATAAGAAGTGGGGGGAAGGGGGGTAGAAGAGCTATAGTCCCGGGACACACAATGTTATGGGCCGAGAAATAGTCAAGAGGACCTATCGGTATTTTTAGGTCATTTTTACGCTGTCGCACATAAAAAAGGCCACCAAAATAGTGCAGCCCGCGGCCCTGTAAAGTCCAACAAGATTAAACCAATAAAACTAACGCTACATAATTTAATTAAAAATAAAAAATTTTTTCAGTACCTGTTTTATGCTTTGCGTAGTTTGAAAAGTTTAACATATTTGAAACACTTCTTCTTAGTAAGATGAACAAATGAAATAACTAAATCATTGTTACTGTGAAAATTTAATTAGCTAGATAGAAATTAACTAAAAACGTTAAATTACTTTGTAATGAGGAAGCGGAACTGCTTAACAATATCGCTGATGATGTTTAGTGAGTGGGTTTTATATCTTTAACTAGTATTTTACAGAAAAAAGTAGCTTTAAGTGTAAGCATAACGAGTTTATAAGAATGGCTGAAGCAAAAATAATTGAAGTTAATAAACCAATTTCTAATACATTACATACATATAAATACATCCCTTATATATAAAAAATAAGATTATACTAATTAAATCTATAATATATTTACAAAACGTTGACAAGTTAAAAAATATAAATTTAAAACATTTATTTTTGTAAACAAATGTTAGTTTAAAACATTTATAGCTTTGTAGATGTGACTCCGAGAATGAGCCATTGTATTAAAATAATTGTTCGTTTGATAGTATATTCTTAAAACAATTGATGCTAGAAATCTCAACGAAAACATAACAAAACTCAAACTATACGATTTTGAAAAATAATTCAACAGAATACTCTAGAACATTCACTTGAATTCTTTAGTAATTTCAGTTATTTATTATTTGAACCAATAGATTGAGTTGTTCGTAAATTTGGCGGGTTTTTTGTGTTCGCGAATATTCTTTATTTATTTTTCCGCACTAAGATGTTTGACAACATTCAAGTTTATATAAATTTCCATATACGTCCGTAAAACAAAATTTACGATAAAATAAAAAATTTATTATTTTGCGGACAAACAAGGAAACATACATAAACTTAAATGTTCTCAAAACGCCTGAAAAATCTGGCCGGCTTTTCGCAAGTAAATATAATTTCCGTGGTCAATTATCGAGTGCGATCGCACCCGCTTCCCGACCAAGCCTGCATATAACATAAAAAGTACAGACCTGTAATTTTGAATAAAGTTTTAAATTTAAAGAAAGTATATATTTATATATATAATTATAAAAAGTAATATATAAAATTTTTTTTTTTGCTAATTATATTAAAAGTATAAGACATACGACTTAAAGGGTATGTTTTATACTTTTAAGGTCAGGTGTGACACATATAGTTAAAAACTAATAACCAAGTTTTGCCAGGAGACGTGTGGGGTTTTCCATCTCGTTTGTTTTTAAAAAAGTTTTTTATTTAAACAACTTGGTCACTACCGTTTGCAAGTTTTATATGTTAAGCATTTCAATACTTAGCGGCAAAAACTTTCAAAAGTTTCAAAAACAAAGATAGCAAATCTAACAAAATAAGAAATTAAATTTAATTAGAAAAAAATAAAAAAATAAATTATTTAAGTAATTGTACTGTTTTAGTTTTTGTTTCTTTAGGGTGGTTGATTTTCAGCAACAAGTTTGGATAAGCAAAAAAAACAACAGTTCTTAAGTTGATATTAAAAAGACTGATTTCCCTATATATATATATATATTTTTTTTTTTTAAAAAGGAAAGCAAAAACAATAAATTTGCATAATTTAAATGTAACAAGTATATATTGTCCCTATATGAAAATGTCTATGTAATACATGCGTATATGTTAATATACACTCAAATGTTTTACTTTTTACATCACTTTTTTAATAATATAATTATATATTTTTGTTACCAGTATAAGCACGTATAGCTTATTAAGATAAGGCCTTAACTATATCATGAAACGGCCATGGTTCGATTTCCATAACTATCCAATTTTTCATTGTTTTTCTTGTAAACCTGCTGTTTATTTATTCCCCTGAAGCTCCTATAGATGTATGTGTTCCACCAAATTAACTGGTTATCGAGTGGTTGCAAATTATAAATGCTAATGTAATGAGTATATGTTATGCAAAAAAAAAATCTCTTGAAATGCTAAATTTAGTAACAACCACCCTTAAAAAATGAAAATAAAAATAGTGCACAAAATATTAAGATTATTAATTTTTTTCATTTTTTTCTATTTAAATTTATTTTAATTTCCTATTTTGTTATGCTTTCTTTGTTTTTGCTACAAAGTATTGAAATGCTTAATGTATAAAACTTGCAAACAGTCTTGAACAAGTTGTATAAATAAAATACTTTTTTGTAGACAAATGAGACACAAAACAGCATGCTCCTTGCAATGCTTAAATAAAAAATAAAAGAAATTAATAATAATGGTATATAATAATAATAAGTTAATAATAATGAATAACATGTTTAATATCAACAAAATTATTTAAAAATCTAATTGTCATTACTGTTCTTTTTATATTTAAGTTCTTTTTTTTTTTTTTTTTGTATTTCTTTATTAAAAAAAAAATTTCATTGATTGAAATCACTATTTAATAGTTGCTAATAAATTTGATTTTTTAATATTTTTGTATACTTATTTTTTTTTTTAATTTTAATATTAACTTTAAGTATTTCTTTGAAATTTAAAATGATGTTCTTTCCTTTGATTTCCACTTTTTTATTTTATTTTCGGTTTTAAATTTTTTTTCTTTCCATTTAATTTACATGATTTTTTCCATTTATCTTACATGATAATTGGATAATTTTATTTATGAATGTTAAAATATTTTCTTCAGATGAATGGAGTATGGAAGACAGAGTTGTATTTGATCAGTCTTTTCATTCTTATGGCAAACATTTTCCAAGAATAAAACAACAGGTTAGATTTTAAAACTTTTGAAACATGTTTGTGTTATGGGCAAATCCATGTCTATATCTAGATCGTGCAACCTTTAGTTTATTTTGCTGATTTTACACCACTTAAAGATTTTAATAAATTATGAACATTTCCAAATGTTAAAGTAAAATAAATGTTAAACATAAATTTTTATAATTTATGTATAAAATTTATATAATAACCAACATTTAAACAATTTGTTATTATCAGTTAGAGTCTCATCAATTAAATTTCACGGAGTTGCAAAACATCATTTTTTTCAGCCATCCTATAAATAAAAAAATGCTAATGAAAGAAAAACCTAAAGTTGAACCATTAAAAAAAAATTTCAGTTTGTTTAACCCATTAAGTTAATGGGTTAAAAAAATGTTAATAGCATTAACATTTATTTTTTTATGTATTGTGTGATTATTAAACTTTTTACACTATTATATTAATTATTATAATATTATAATATTATATTGATTATTATAATATTACATATTATATGTTTTAAATTAAACATATAGTGGAAAACACAGCCATATCTCCTTCTAAACATTAAAACAAGTCCTTCCGTGAATTAAGGCCTTAATTGTTTTTTCTAGAAGTAGATAAATAGTGAAATAAAATCTTCTATATCTTGTTTAAAGTTGTATAAATTTTTATTAAAAGATTTCAAGACATTGAAACTTATTATTAATTTTTATATAAATGTTTTAATGCTAGCTTCCTGATAAGAGCATTGGTTCTCTGGTTAAATATTATTACACTTGGAAGAAAAATAGAAATAAAAAAAGTTTAATGGATAAAACAGAAAAGCGTGAAATAAATATGATAAATGGACTTTTTGCTGATGACACTGATGGAGAAAATGAGTCCAGTGACAGTGAGTATGAGCCAAATGAAAAAGTAAGTTTTTGTTGATAACCAATGTTTTATTTATTTTTTGTTTTGTATATCATTTATTAGAAAAGTTTAAATATATTTGTATTTAAACAAAAACATTAAATAAAATTAATGTTTTTATTTGGGTAAATTGTTGTGAAAGTTTTTTTCTTTTTATTGTTTGTTATACAATAATGTGGCAAAACTCACACAACTGTAGCTCTCTAAAAAAATTATTTATTAAAGGGTGTTGATCTGTTGATCACATCCTAAAATGTTTGTTAATAGTACTGAAATTACAGAAGTTACTAATATTATTAATCAATTAATTCAATTGAATGCTACCAACAAACTTTGTATTCTTAATTTTTGCAACTCTATGGTGGATTTACTGTGTAGTGTTCATTAGTTAGGGCCTCACACAATTTTATTAGTTGAATTGTTAATAAAATTTAGGTGTTTTTAAGTTATTTTGCATTTAACAAGATTAATACATATATTTGCAGCAAAGTTCAATTTTGAATTTCTTTCTGGAAATTTTTTTTTATTTCATCAAGCTTATGAGTTTACTGATTTTTGTATGATACAGGAATATTTTTAAATATTACTTATTTTATGGTTAATTTATTTAGAAGTTTAAACCTGTAAACATTTTTTAGAAATTGAAAACATCAAAAAATGGAGAAAAGGTAACTATAGCATCTATTTTTTAAAATTTATTAAAAGTTTAATAAAGCAAATATTTTTTTTCTAGTTAGAAAGTGTTATTGCTAAGTTTAATTGCTGATGTCAGCAGTTTTTAATTACCAAAAGTAGTCTTTTATAAATCAAGGTGAATTGCTGAATGGTAAATTGTAGGTGATTTGTTTTTAAAATAAGGCTTTAAATATTCCTGAAATCAAATGCTAAATTTAATAGTATTTTAATTTGGGAAAATCAATGACCAGATTGTAATAATGTTTAAATTAATGGGATTACTGTTGAATGTTGTTTTATACAGTTCTTAAATTTTCATGTCTTATTTTAATTAAAGTATTTTATCACAGTGTGTATTAAAACTACTTTTACCTGTTTAAATAGTGACTTATTTCTGGCTTTGTCAGTTTATGTTTCAAAGTGAATAACAACATTTAAGGAAGAAAAAATGTATATATTTGAATATAATGGTCCCTTGGGTCTTAGGGAGGGGATTAACTTAAAAAAATGTTTAGTATGCAACAACATTTACACATTAAAACAATTTATCCACTATTTGATGGAATGGTTTGAAACTAGTGGCTAGTAACAGAATCTTTTAGTTTCTATGTTATGTAAAAATTGATTTCTGAAATCTGAACGAAATTGTCTAAAGTGGCAGGTTTATGGGGGCAAGACCAATTTATAAATAAAATTAAAGAATAAAAGCTTTTTTTCAATTCACAGTATTGTATATAAACTTTAAATTATTTTATAGCTGTAGCTTAAACACTTGTTTAATAGACTAAAGTTAATTTGTTTAAATATTCAAACGTGTAATTAGAAAAACATACATTTTTCCGAATGGCATCATTGATTTAATGAGTTAATTAATTTAATTATAAATTAAATTTAGTCAGAAAAAACATGTATATAAAATTCAGTCTTTCTTTTTGCCATCAACATTTAACTCTTACAATCAAATTTTGAAATAAGATTGCTCTAAAAAAAATATGAATGTGTATAGTTTTTAAAGGTGAAGCTTTTTAAGGGTAATGTTAAAAAAATGAAACCTTTTATAGATTTTATAGTTGTTTAGAACAGTATTAATTTGAGTATTTTTAAAATCAAAAAAGAAAAATAATATTATGTTGCTTTTATGTTATTATTGGTATTATTACTGTTAAAATTATTAGTGTTATTTCCTTTTTTTATTTGCTTTTTTTTGTAAATATTGTGTTGCTTTTTTAGCTTTCATCTCCAACAGATAATAAACCCAGTCCAATGTTATCTACAAATTGTGTAAATTGTGCGGGTGTAACATCTCAAATGAATTCCACACCTCGTGGAAAAATGTGTGTACCCTGTTATGATTACTGGAGGTAATTTTTTTCATTAAAAAAAATAAATAAAAATAAGATTTCCAAACATGTAAAAGTATTATAGTATATTTATGTTCTGACATTGGCATTCAGTGTTTAATAAATTTAAATTATGATATTAAGTGTAATTTGATAGTAGTACTGTGGTAAAGTGCTTACTTTAGAAGTAAGTGGTACAAACCTCACTGTGTTCTGTTACTTGATAGTAACATGATTTCACTGTGTCACTGCTACTTGATAGTAACATGATTATCTTTTTTCTTATGATTCTGTTTTTGATCCATTTTTAAAAAAATTTTGAATTTTTTTAATAAGCAACAAAATCATTGTATGCTTATTACATAAATAGAACAGTATAATCATTTTTTTAAAAAAATTGCAAAACTAATTCTTACTAAACAGCTTTTTTTTTTGCACACTTGTCTTGAAGTTCATTAATACAAGTGAAATATAATACAGATACAAGAATAAAATTATATGGTACCCAGGAGTTACTGAGAATGAAGGTGAATGTTGTTTATTGAGGATGACTTATCACAAATAATTATCGCAATTAAAAATAATAATTTAATAGTTTTTATGTAACATTTATTAAATATATAAATAATAAATATGCATTTGGTTAAACAGTTTTAACAATTGAATTGTATAACTGGAGTGGTTAAGTGTATAAACAGAGTGGTGACTAACAATCAATTAACCTGTTTGTCTTTGATGAGATTACATATAATGCACAATTTTTAGTAGGAAAGTAAAGGAAATCAACCCAAGTACCATCACAAAGAAAAATGCAGATCAAACCCTAGCCAATTTTATAGTAATTGTAAGAAGTATTTACATCTGCCTTCTAGATGAAGAAAGTTGTGAAGTTGGTCAACAGAAATTTTCTCTTTACCCCAAAAATCTTATCGAACTAGGCTTTTTTTTAAAAGAATATACTAATCTACCCAAGAGTAGTATTGTTAAAAAGAATATACTAATCTACCCATGAGTAGTATTTTTAAAAAGAATATACTAATCTACCCAAGAGTATTTTTAGTAAAACTATAATCTCTAGTCTTAACCAACTAAGAGTAAGTTTTAACCAGCCAGCAGAATGTGTGGTAGGTTGTTATTGTATCATGATATACCATGATACCAATAACAGGATGACTACAATCCTGACATGATTAGTTTTTATTATTCCGTGCTCTGTTGTAGTATTATTTCTTTCATTATCACTGACACTTTGCTTTTCTATAGCAACTTTTTGTTTATCTTAGCTTCATTAGCGTTAAATTGGAGTTAAAATACAAGGTTCTTTAGCAGTTTAAAGTTGTATTGTTTGAGTCATCCTGTTTCAACATTTTAATGTTGTTTTTTTTAAATAAAATTTATTTATCGCAAAAACAGTTCTACAATAAAAACTATGAAATTATAAAAAAAGTTTATTTTTTGTTAATAACTTTAAATTTTATATTCAATTAATTTTTTTCTCAAAATAAGTTGAACACTGTATTCTTTAAGTAATTCTAGAAAATTATTGAGTTTCCTGGTAGTGTCGTTGTTAAGTTGTTTTAATGTTAACCCCACAAGATCAGTTACATTGCAACATTTAGACTTAGTCCTTTTTTTAAAATAAGTTACTATCTACACTATCTAATGCACTGTATTTCACCGTTTTATTTGATAAATCCGTGGTGAAATATTTTTTAGAAGTTTCAAATCAATCTTTTAGTTTGACTTCGAAATGACAAAGATAAATCAGAGATTAGGCTTGCGCATCTGTTATGCAAACATTCCTAAACTGTATTTCTGTTTAATCAAATAGGTAAATCAAATATATCACAGGTGTCATCTTGGACCAAATGTCCATGATGGCACCTGTAAATTTATTTTTTTAAGATAATTTAAGACTTGATTCTCTTATCGATATTGGAACCTGTTGTTTCCACATCATTCATGGCAGTTTTAAGGCATTGGCAAAAGTAAACAATTCAAAAGATAAAAGCTAATAGAGACAGAAAACCATGTTTCACTACCATAAAACATATTTGTAACATTTTATACAACTATAATTTGAAATTTAGTTCAATTGAAATATGTTTGCAAATATAATCAATTATGGAAGTATCTTTAAAAATGAATTTACTTAGGTTCAGTTAATTGCTTGAACTTTGATACAATTTTGATAACAATATCAAACTTTTTTAAGAAAAAATATTTTCAATATTTTAAACTATTTTTCTTAAAAGCTAAGAATAGTTAATAATCATAATCATTCCAGAATAATTGATTGCTATTTTGTTTATGATGTTATGGCTATAAAATAAATGGTTTTTTATTTGTATTTTAGGAGAACTGGTAATATGCGACCAAAGGATAGTGAAGATCAGATATCTTTATACCATGGCCCACAGCACAAGCTTAAACGAAAACCACCAAAGGTAACATACCATTCAATTTCTAATATTTTAATAATTAAACCTTAAGTAAAGTTGTTGCAAGTTTGCTATATTTTTTAGGGAATGCAATTAAAGCAGGAAGCATTGATTGAAGTTGCTCAAGCTCATGGGGATTCTCACATACGCCCTTTAGAAGTAGAGCTAATTAACTTGCGTCGTCAGTTACTTACAGATCGTCAAGTAATTCAAGAACAAGAATTTATATTAAGTAGTAGAGTAGGAAAGTGCAGACCCCCTGAGGTACAGTAATAATTACCCCCTGAGTTACAAAATAATTATTGAATAGTGTGTGCTGGAAAAACACTTTTATATACAGTATGTGCCAAAATTGTCACCATGTTTGAACAAAGCTATATTTTATATTTTTTTTAATAGAAAAGCTGTTAAGAAAAATGAAATTTTAGTTTTATTGATTAAATTTTAAACTTAACTGAAATTGTTGCTTTTTATTAAATTTAGAGGATATTAAATTTTTTTTAAATTTTTATGTCAAGAGCTTATGGTGACAATTTTGTTGCAAATGAAAGCAAATAACATTTTATAGTAAATTAATATCAAGTATATCCTTGCTAAGATTTAATTACAGCCTGAATTCTTTAAGGAACACTAGCAACCAATTTACGGCATTCCTTGGGTGTAATTGAGTACCAAACCTCTTGTACACGAGCCCAAAGTTCATCCTTATTCTTAGATGGAGCAGGAAAGTTGTAAACCCGTTGTTTAACTATTACCCATAAACTTTCGAGTGGCTTAAGATCAGCCTTATGCTTAGGGTCAATGTCTTGCATGAACATCGTATTATGTACAGTTCTGCCTTATTTTCGAAGGGAATTGAAATATCTGACCGTAAGGATGTTGATATAGTCATCAGTGTTTATTATTCCATTAATTTTCACTAATTCACCGACTTCACGAGCACAGAAACATCCCCAAAACAAGAGTTTTCCTCTGCCAACGGTTTTAAAAATCTCGAGCACTTAATGGTGAATTTTCTCCAAGTACTATCTGATCTAAAGATATTATTTTACTTTCATCTGTCCAAAACTAGTCATAAAAGTCATCAAAAGTTGTGTGCATGAAGTTTAGCATAATTTAAACGAGCTTGTCGATGACGAGAAACTAACAATGACTTCTTTATTTTCCTTCTAGATCAAAAACCAATTCTTTTGAGCTCTCTATTGACTGTCCGCACTTAAGAATGAGTCCCATAGCTGTTATTCATTAAATTAGTAACATCTTTTTCAGTTCTAGACTCCAGAAGCAATTAAACGAGCAATTGTTCTTTGGCCTCTTGGTATAAAAATTTTTCTTCCACCACTTTTAGACTTTTACTTCTAAATTATTGCACAATTTGATTTTATATATGAGATTATGAGACTTTCCGAACTCAACAGCGATTTCACTATAAGATTGTCCGGATTTAAGTCTTTCAACAATATTTTTTTCTAGTTCAAGATTTGTTTTCCTCATGATGATAATAACAATACTTTTTTTATGCTTTGTAAACAAAATCAAACTTTAAATGATATTTAATCGTTAAAAATTTGTGAAAAGTTGATAACCAATCATTTTAGTCATAAGGCTATTAATTTATGTCGTATGCCTAATTAACTGTGGACAAATATGTTAGCTGCTTTCATTCACCACAAAATTGTCACCATTAGCTTTTCACATTAAATTAAAAAAAAAATTCAATATCTTCTAAATTTAACAAAAAGCAATATTTTTAGTTAGCTAAGTCTTAAATTTAATTAATAAAACTAAAATTTCATTTTTCTTCACAGCTTTTTTTATAAAATGTATATAAAATATTTTTTTGTTCAAACATAGTGACAATTTTGGCACATACTATATATATTAATTATAAGCGTGTAATCAGTTCTCTACATATATAATTAATATCTCCATATATAATTAATTCAATATTCTTGATATTCTTAAAACTCTTATTGAGTAAACCATGAGAGGTCAGTAGTAAATAATAATCAATGGTTGCTGCTCTGGTGAACTATTATCGCCTGTTCCATCAAATAAAACTCAATCTTGTGTGTCATGTTATTTTCCATTTTTTTACTTTAATTTTACAGTAAAATCCTTTTTACTGTTTTATTCTTCAATTTTTTTTTTTTTGTAAAATTTGTACTTTATGTGTCTCTCTTCATGTTTGCTTGATTAGAAGCACTCATTTGCATGTTCTACCTATTTGTCAGTTGATGCATGTACTATTCACTTTTCCTAAAAGTTCCTTATGGGAAGAATTTTTTGTTTTTTTTTCTGAAAAAAAATGTACACGTAAGGGAACAAAACATTGTTTCACAAATGTTTCTTTTTTTGTCTCTGTAAGTATATATTTTTTAATCATATATCCTCGTAAGTGAAACTATAGGTGTATATATATATATAGCTATAGTTTCACACATATATAGGCATGTATTTATACATGCCTATATATGTGTGAAATGCTAAACTCTCTTTTTTTTTTCGCTCCTTAAAAAGGTATCAACAAAATTTATACTATATACATTTTAATGTTGTTTTTTGAAATAGAATTTGATTATCGCAAAAACAGTTCTGTAATAAGTAAGCATAACAACTATGAAATAAAGTTTTTTTTGATAATTTCAAACTTTATATTCAATTAAGTTTTTATTACACAAAATAAGTTGAACACTTTATTCTTTAAGTATTTCTGGAAAATTATTGAGTAAAATGAGTAAAAATTTTAAAAATTTTTGTAAAAAAAATTTTTTAATATCACATCTATTAAGGGGTGTCAAAAAAATTGCTTTTTGTATGCACCCAAACCCCTAAAATGGTGGGATGGGTGTGTGCTGGCAAAAAACTTTTATGTTTACTTTTTTCTTTGTAATTTACTACATATACTGGTCAATTATCAAAAAAATTTGGTACCCATTAAATATATGAATCTAAACTTTTTTGTAGTCTTTGATAACTTTTCTTGGTTAATATATTTTCAGGTCAAGCTTCTTATAATAGAACTGGTGCTAATCAGATGTAAATGTCTAAGAATTTTTTAAAATGGTTTTAACAAAATCTGAGAAAAAGTGTTAAAAAAATATAAAAATAAAATATGCATAATTTATTTTGAAGAGGCTTCCTAAAATTTTAACTTTTAACTAAGTATTTGATTTATTTTAATTATTGTTTATTTGCTACTTCATCAAGTTTTAACAAATTTTGCAATGTTAGCAAATAATTCTATTATTCTTATATTATTGTATATATATTCAAGTTGGTGTATCAGGTAACAAAACTCTCTGCAGAACCATATTATCTGTATCCTTTGAAACTATTATGCAGTTACAGGTTGTAATTGATCTGAGTGATAATAGAACCAAATTCAAGCCTTCCTGGGAAGCGCGTACATTGGCACGCCTTGTTTGTCTTCGTTTAAAGTAATTTTAAATAATTTAGACACTTTAAAGTAATTTAAACACACTGACCATGGCATCTTTTAACTTTTTAAGCGTTTCAGTAATTCTTGGCAAAAAGCTCAACTCATCTACTGAGAAAAAATTAAATTAAAAAAAAAATTGCAAAAAAATATCAAATTTTATTTAAAATGATAAATGAACAAGAAAAATTTGATAATTTAAGAAAATTAAAAAAAAAATTTTTTTATAAAAATGTTACACAATTTTGTATTCTTTTTTTTTAGGGTGGTTGTCATTTAATACAACCTGTATTAAATACAGGTTGAAGAAAAAAACATTTTATAACACTTTAACAGCAATTTAAAATTTTGATACACAATTTTTTCACGATATTATCAACCTGTACATAAGGCGGCACAATTGGTCGGTGTGTATGTGACACCCCCTCCTCCCTATCAATAAAATTTTTGCTCATTTAATGGCCATATTTGACCCATTTAGACAAGTCAGTCTGCTAATCTAGTCTTTTTAGACAAGTTATTCTGCAAATTTAGACAGTTTGTCGGCAAATGTCGACTAGCAGTCAGCAAATTTCAAAAAAAAAAAAGCCCCCTTTTTTTTTCTTTAGTTAATGAAAATTGTAATGACAACCCCCCCTCTCCAGTGATGCACATCGCACCCACGTGATACCTACTCATGCCAACCCTACCCTTAAAAAAAGTTCAGCAAAGTAACAATGCACTAGCCCACAAGCTTTTGGAGCATCATCAATTACAACAGTTCATCAGAAAATAAACTATCAGGTTTTAATGCACAATTTGGAAAATCCAACAAAAGTGCAGACTATTTCAATAAGGGTGGTGAAAACAAAATAACTATTACAAATGTTTAATAGGTTTAGATAAGAATTTATTTTATATATTAAAAGAATAAATTATGCTAAATTCTTTTTTAGTTTGGAATTCTAGAACAGTTTTAAAGCATGTAATCAATACATCAATTTTTGTGTTATATTTTTTAGTCTTATATAAATAAGACTAAAATTATTTTATTGTTGATTCAGGCATTGAAATTGAAATTAAAAACATCAAACCCCTCCACCAAAACTTTATTTTTTATTTGATGATAATGTATTAGGAGGTTTACTTTTAGTGGTTTTCCAAATTTTTAGACCTTGTTATTCTAGAAGTTCTATTTTATATGTAATCAAATTACAAAATGAAATTATAAAAAGCCTATAAAAAGCAATTTTACTGACACCCTTGATAAATGTATTGAAATTTTGTTTTACAAATATTTAGTAGGTATCTTCTTAAGAAGAAAAAAAAGGGGTAACTTAAAGCCTTATCATCAATGTGTGTGTGTGTGTGTGTGTCTATATATATATATATATATATATATATATATATATATATATATATATATATATATATATATATATATATATATATATATATATATATATATATATATATATATATATATATATATATATATGTATATACCGTATCTCGAAACAGACATTAAGTTACTTGAGGATGTTCAAGACCGTGTCACTAAGACAATATCATCTATCAGCCATTTTGATAAAATAAAGCGTCTGCAGGTACTCAAACTAACCACCTTCAAAGTTTGTGTGGTGATATAATCGAACAATTCAAAATTTTCAACAACTATGATGAAGTTCATTTACGGTCCCACAGCACCAACTAATTGGGTGTGAGGTGTAAAACCTACGCGGCCATGACAAGCAGCTTGATTGTCAATTTGTAAGAGGATGTGAGGAGAGATAAAACTTTTTCACAAACCAAGTTGCGGTCCATTGGAACTCTCTCACACAGCACGCAGTAAACGCTCCATCAAATGCGTTTAAAGATCGGATTTCGATAAAGCGTTAAATCAGCATAGAGACTTCTAGAAAAATCTCTTCATCAAATTAATAATTTAACATTTATATATACATATATACATATGTATATTTATATATTTTTTAATTATTGTTACGGTAATATATATATATATATATATATATATATATATATATATATATATATATATATATATATGTATATATATATATATATATATATATATATATATATGTATATATATATGTATATATATATATATATATATATATATATATATATATATATATATATATATATATATATATGTATATATATATGTATATATATATATATATATATATATATATATATATATATATATATATATATATATATATATATATATATATATATATATATATATATATATATATATATATGTATATATATATATATATATACATATATATATATATATATATATATGTATATATATATGTATATATATATATATATATATATATATATATATATATATATATATATATATATATATATATATATATATATGTATATATATATATATATGTATATATATATATATATATATATATATATGTATATATATATGTATATATATATATATATATATATATATATATATATATATATATATATATATATATATATATATATATATACTCACACACACACACACATACATATCTACTATAGCATATTTATATAAGCATTTGCTTCCTAATGTTGCTTATCTTTATAGCACACAGCTTTTTAAGGAAAAAAAAACATAAAATTTAATCAAAGGAACTAATTAAATTTTATTGTTTTTTTAAAAACCAAAAAAGCATAATTTTATAGAATAAAATTTTTTTTTTTTTTAATAAAAATAAAAACATGTTTATTTTTATTTTTTTACTTTGCATACATCGACTGACTAATAGGTAGAAAATGAGAGGAGTGCTGCTACATCGTCTGACAAATAGGTAGATTAAAGGTTTTGGTTTAGGCAATTTATGAATTAAAAATTTTTTTTTATAAGTTTTTAATTTTTTCCGGTTTTCTAAATTAATTTTTTTTTGTAAAAAAAACATAAAGATTACATTTTGTTTATATATTTATTATATATAGTGAAAACTATAACTATATATATATATATATATATATATATATATATTATATATATATATATATATATATATATATATATATATATATATATATATATATATATGTGTGTGTATGTGTGTTTTTGTGTGTGTATATATATATTTGTATATTTATTTATAAATTTATTGGTATATTTATATATAAATATTTATATATATATATATATATATATATATATATATATATATTTATATAAATATATTTATTATATATAATTTATTATATATTATATATAATAAACAATGTGATGTACTTATGTGTCGCATAAACAAAAAATTTATTCTTTGTGGCTGGTGAGCCCTGACTTTTTCCAATGTACACCATAACTACAAAACAAACATTAGGCTATCCCGCTGGATGTGGTTACGACAATTAATAACCTAATAACTATGCTGACACTCACGCACACGTTCAGTCGGAAGCTCCACAATGCACATCGGATCAGCGCTCGTTGGCTATGTGCTCGGATCTGAATTCTCACTCCATAGCACACCATTCCACACCAGCACGGGGCAGTAGTTCTTTTGGTTAAGAGTGATGGCTTGTGGCCTATGGTGACTAATGTGTGCATTCGATCAATTGAAATCCATTCTGTAGGTCTTACGTCTGGCTCTGATATGCTAGCCCATAAGCGCAAGGAGTGAGTGTGTTTAGCTTTCTGTTCACTCGATTTGAAAGTGAACGAAAACATAACGAGACAATATTAGATGACCAAACGGTACATACTGATGCACTACACCATCACACCTGTAGACATCAATAGCCTCTAAAAATAGTATATCAAATATTTGTTCTTTATTATATACTTTAGTTCATAATCTTTTTTTACCTTATCCTTGTATATTTATTCAGATTTGTGTTATTATGTGTGAATGAGGGTGTATATTTATGAAAAGCATAACAGCGCAAAAATTTTACACAAAAGTACGTATTAGCGTATTTTTTATAACAAATGTATTCTTTGTTGGAATATACTGAATATACAATTCCACTAGATAAGTTTAGACTTAATCTGATTTCGTTAGGTTTTTTGTTTCTATCTAATTTTCTCAATCTGACGTCGTTAGTTAGTTTGTTGTGGTTTGCACTATACTGTCTTCACTAACATTCCTTTTGTCGTTTTGTCAACAATATTGTTTTTTAATGTTACATTTTTTAGTGGTTATAAGCTATTAGTAAAAAATCGCATTTATTTTAAAATCTCTTAATTTCCTCATTATTCTCTGCCTGCTGATTTATTGTTTGTATATTTTTTTATCTCTGGCTAATCGTTGTTTAATTACTCTGAGTCTGTTTTGTGTGATAGCTATTGTCTCTACTTATCAGGCAAGATTTATATGAGAACATACTATTGGAGTTATCACATTTTTTATCATCTTAACTTAGTATCAATGCTTTTGAGTGGTATTTACTTATTATATTTATAATACATATTTCAGCCATAAAAGAAACGGTAAGTTACTATTAATTGTTAATTACTATTTTATATTCGCTTTGTGTTATTTCTACACATTATAATTGTTTATTTATACATGCGCATACATACATGTGTACAAATTTGTTTTTTCTAATATAAGGGTACCTTATATTTATATGTGTTTACATATCTGTTTATGGTTACACCACGCGCATCTCTCACCACCCTCATGAGATCTCTAAGAATGTTGGAGTTGCTTTCAAAAACTGGGATAGGGATTAGGTGTTTTAGCATTTGTAGTGTAGTCCTATTATATTGCAATATTGACTAGCATGATGTAGAGTGCAGGCGGTGAGATCTGTTGCAAGGACACGCCCCTGACGAGTCGCGTTAGTGCAGGTTTCAGGCTCTCTGAAACGTTATTGGTGATCGCAGTGCATTCCTGAGGAGGAGGACCACCATTTATCCACTACTTAATTCTAATTGGTTATTATGGCACCAACATTTCTTACCTCTTACACCCATGAATTTTTGCGCTTTGTGAGCTTTTTATTATGAATTTGTTACATTAACGACATTTATATATTTTTATGTTACACAGGTGATTATCAGTTCTCAATTTTTTATCTAGAGTTTAGTACATATATAGTACACATTTATTAGACATTTGTATGGTGCGATTATTTTAGTTATGAATACCATTAATAAACCAACGGATTTTTGTTGACTTGTTTACTCATAGATCATTGTTTCATCATTTGCTAAAAGATGACTAGAGTGTGAGTTTTGGTTCCTCTCTTCCTGAGTTGCTAACTTTTACTCCTCCTACTAAATAGTCTTTACACTAATTTATGTTTTTTTACCTAAATAACATCATCTTCAATCTGTTTTTATTTTCACATCTCCCAGGTCTATGTAACTGGACGGCTCCGTTGGTCACTTTTTGCGATCATTGTGTCGCATAAGCAGAAAACATAAAGATTATATTTTACTTATATATTTATTATATATAGTGAAAACTATAAGTATATATATTATATATATATATATATATATATATATATATATATATATATATATATATATATATATATATGTGTGTGTGTGTGTGTGTGTGTATATATATATATATATTTATTTATAAATTTATTTATGTATTTATATATAAATATTTTTATATATATATTTATATAAATATATTTATTATATATAATTATATAAATATATATATATATATATATATATATATATATATATATATATATATATATATTTATATACAAATATATATAAATAAACAGTTATGTTAAAAAAGATCCGATCACTCAATATTTGCAGTGAAAAATTATTTTTACTGTATTGTGTATACATTGACTACTAAAAAATTTTTTAATTTAAAAAACAACATATGTAAACATAAAATAATAAAGAAATCATAGTACAAAACATGTTTTAATATTTTGTATGTGCTCATTGAACCTTTAAAAAAGCCTCTATTCTTAGCAGTATTGAGACAACAAGAGACTTAATATTCGGGCCTTTCATTATGGCTTTCCTTAGATCTGCTAGTGAGGTTGGGTTCTATTTAGAAATATTCGCCTTCAATTTCATCTAACAGTTTAAATGGGACTTGAATTGTTGGCCCATGGAGCAAGAACATATTCAGATTTTTCTTGATCCATTTCTTGACATTTTTTGCCTGATATCAATTTGCCCTGTAGTCACATATATAATTAAAATTTTTGATGCTGCATTGTATAATTGAAGATTAATGTCCTTGTCAAGGCTTTTTTTGTGAGCACTAACATTCACACTAGGAGGCAATTATATAAGAATTTGTGAGTTTGAAATCTATGTCTTTCACAGTTACACAACTTATCATGTTGTCAGTTAAAATGTTATTAACTCAAAAATGTGTACACTTCATATATATATATATATATATATATATATATATATATATATATATATATATATATATATATATATATATATATATATATATATATATATATATATATATATATATATATATATATATATATATATATATATATATATATATATATATATATATATATATGTATATATATATATATATATACATACATACATACATACATACATACATACATACATACATATATATGTATATATATATATATATATATATATATATATATATATATATATATATATATATATATATATATATATATATATTTAGATGAACCAAAAATTAAATCCTCGTTGGACAAATGAAGAACTTCTTATTGCAGTGCAGTGTAAGTTTTTTTAATTAATTTAAATACATCAACATTTTTTTAGTCAAATTAATATATTAAAATTTTTTAATTCTTTTGAAATAAAATTTATAAAATGTGAGTAAAATAAAAAAAGTTATCCTTTTGTACATGTACATTTTTATGCAAACTGTTAAAATGTTATTAACTTGAGAATGTCTACACTCCAAACATTGACAAACAAGTTTTTTTAAAATAAATTAAGTATGGTGCTACAAGAAATGTGACACGGATTGGTATGTTTGCTTATGAAACGCTTTTCCTCTACACCACAATTATGATGTGGATTGTAATGATAATATAGTCAGGTTTGAATTAAGTACTTTTTGCTCATAAAGCACATTACTACTACACTACTATTGTATCTAAATTATTATTTTAAAAAATAATAAGGAAAAAATTTTTTAGTTATTTCATATTTATTACTGTTTATTCCATACTTAATGCCAGGTAGAAATTTTCACAGAAATATTTCAGAATGGTCATTTGAATAATTAGATGTAGTTTGTTGTAAATATCTACAAAAATGGTCAAGTAATAGAAAATCAATAGATTGTTACTTCTAAAAAATCCTAAATCGTCATGAGTTTTAAATCACTTCTAAGTAAAAAATCTTGAAAAATATTAAAAACCTAAAAATTCTTTGAAAATAATCACTAGGCAACAAAAAAAAATTGCAGCAATTTTTTAAATTGCTTTAATAAAACAATAAGCTACACTTTCTTTTTCCTTACTAACCATTATTGTTATTTCTAAATTGTCCTTGTGTTCATGCTTGCATTGGTTAGACATTTCTTACAATTATATTTCTATTACATACACAACCTCAAGCATATTTTTTTTTCAAACTAAAATAGTATTTCAAAAGTTTAGTGGAACTTCAAGTTACTTTTGTTTTATAAATAGACATTGAAAGGAAAAGTTTTCAAAATTATTTATAACAAAATATATTCTTTATCTAGATAAAATAAATTAATTATTTAAATATTAATAATATGCATGCGTTCACCACAGAGTTTTTTTTTAAACAATTTAGTGAAGAAATAAAAAGACACATTAAAAAAATATTAAATATAATATTTATAACTTTTAATAAACATTAGTTTTAGCAAATGTATAAATAGTTAAATTGTTAGTTTTATTTCTATATTTCTTATAAAAAATCCCAGTTATTTTGTTTGTTTGTTTGTTTATATACTAATTTAGTGCTTTGCCATGATGCTACATTCTGCTAGCAAAGCTTTTCCTGTATTTTTTTTTAAGTAATACAAGACATTCATAAATAATAAGCTTAATAGTTTTTGTAAATATATTATTTACACTGTATTTACATTTTTACACACGTGCATTTATATGAATACACAAATATTTCTAAATTTATTTTGAAAAATGATTTCAGATGATATTATTTTTTTTTATTATCATGATTCACTCCTAACAAGGCTGCAAGCAACCACTATTAATTTTGCACTAGAAAATAAAAATAGATTTATAGAGCAAGGAAATGGTTGACAGAAGACTTGAAAAATTGTAGGTTGTATGAGTCAGGAAAACATGAAGATGGGAGAGTTTAAAAAGGGTTGGAATGTGGGAAGAAAAACTAAATAAATAAATGTTTTTAAAGCATGCAGGGACAGACACAGTAAATGAATGAGACTTTGCTGAATGATGATTCAAACAAGAACAAGTTTTGGTTGATGGAACTAGAGATGATCAGTCGTGGACAGGAAAGGTATGCAATCTCGTCTATTCTTGATCACGCATTTAATTTATTTTTGCGACAACTTGACCACAGCTTTTAAGGTTTTTGAAAACATTTTTAAAATGCACTAAAATAAAGTAAGAAAAGTGAGAAATTGCTTTTAATGATTGTGTACTATAAAAAACATTTTCTTCAAATTATTGAAAGATATCGGACAAAACTAGTGCAACCAAATAATGCTAATTTAGTTTCTTTATATAAAAGTGCTGCATTTTTTCAATTTAGAGAAATAACTATGTAACTGTTTAGAGACAATGTTCTTTAAGTTTTATTCATCACAAAGTTCATTATTTGTACACGAAAATTATTAAATTAATCAAAATTATTAAAAAAAAGATGATTTCCTTCTGGACAAAACAAGTGCAACTCCACAAAATATTGACCAGGCTGTATTTCGCTATCAATATTTCGTAGCAAATCCTTTGTTGTCGATCACAGCCTTGCATCTTTGAGGCATAGATTCGATCAGGTGATCAATGAAACTTTGTGGAATCGCTGCCTAGGCCTTTTAGATTTGTTCAAACAGTTGATCCTTATTACGAACACCTTCACAATTAATTCTGCGGTTGACAATCTCCCACAGGTTCTCAAGAGGGTTGAGATCCAGAAATTGAGGCGGTTAATCCATCACCAATAGGTGGTTGTTTTAAAACCACTGCTTTACTACTTTTGCAGTGTGTTTCGGATTGTTGTCTTGCTAAAAAACCCATTTTATTGGCATATTCCATTTAGCATGAGGTAACAATATCTTTCAGGATATTTTTATACATGAAACAGTCCATTATTCTATCGATTCAATGTATTGGACCTAAACCGTTAGCAGAACCCCGCCCCCCCCCCCCCCGCCCCAGACCATTACAATGCCTCCACCATGCTTCACGGTCTTATGGCAGAAACATAAATTGAGGTGTTTTCTGGCTGGTCTATGTACACTGCAAATGATTCATTACTGAACAGGACAGTTCGCCATTTCTGCACATTCCTGTCAATATGAGATGTAGCAAACAGGAGTCTTTTCTTCTGGTTCTTTAGTGAAATCAGTGGTTTCTTTGCAGGACGTCAAGAAAACAATCCAGCTTCAACAGCACATTGTCTGATTATTCTGTCCGATACAGGCAGCTCTAATTGCTTTCGTATCTTGACTGATGATATCCAGGGATCCTTCTTGATGGATTTGACAATCATAGAATCCTCTCTAGAAGTGGTGGAATGCGGTCTTCCACCTTTTTTATGTGCTGCCAACTTCCCTGTAGAACGATATTTGGAGCATAGTCTTAATACGGTCCATTTTTCATGCGATATTTATCACAAATACTTTTTTCAACGTTCCACTTACGTAATCGCCAATAATTTTCTTTCTCAGATCCAATCCAAGACTGGGAGCCATTTTTGCACTTGAAGTCATAAAAATAATAAGAATAAATAATCACGCTTCTCAAGGGTTACCGTGTTACATTTACCTTGCGATGATACAATATGGCTCTGTGGAACACAACGTCTGGATACTTCCTTTAATTATTAAAAAACTTCCGTGATGTTGACATGGACCAGACTTAAGATGAAACAAACCAAAAAAGTGTTTTGTCTGCTGCAAAATGGCACTTGTCAACGAAATTCTGCCTGTGTGCTGTTACCTGTCAGCTGATTGCTCAGGTCATGCTCTAACTCCAGACTCCTGGACTGTTTGCTGTGGTAGTATAGTTCGTTTCGTTTTTAAGACATGTAAAATTAGGAACACTTTTTAGCATTGTTCGATGTTGGTTGCAAATGTTTTGTTCAATACTGTATAGTTAAAAAGTTTTTTTTTTACAACAAATGTAAATGTTTTTAAAACAATTTTTGCAAGTAATCTTATTAATATTCGAAAACATAACAGTTATTTTTTATAATGCTTTGTAAACTTTTAAATGAAATGTTTTTACACTCTGTTAAACGCTTTTAAAGTTTTATTGCACTGTAAATAAGTAAACTAAATATAAAATATTAAATTGTGCTATTAAAAAAAATTAAATCATAAAATATTAAATAAAATGTTTATTCATTTGTTTTATTAATTTTATTTAACAGCAATTTATTTTATTAATTTTATAAACAACAACGACAACGATGTTTTCAATAAACTTTTTTTTTTAAATTCATAAAGTTAATATAGTTGAAAACATAAGTTTTTTTGTTGTTTTGTTAACTTTTTAATTAATTTTTTTATACTACCTTAGTAGTAAAAAACACTTAATTAGAAAGTTTACAAAACATTAACAGCAACAAAAAATTTTTTAAATGCTTTCAAATTAAGTAGCAAGTTTTAATGATTGTTTTAAATAAAAAATATTAAATATAAATTTATAAAGAATATTTTAAAAAATTATATTTACTTTACTAAATTTGTGCATTTTATGATTGTTTGAGTGCAATTTTATAAATGATTTTATTTTATGATTCGTTTTTTATATAAATAGTTTGCCTTCTATTATAAAAACATTATATGAGTTTGCCTAATATAATAAAAAAATTAAAAAAGATCAAAGTTTTTAAAGATATTTAACCTTAACATTATTATAAGCATTTTTAAATAATTTTCTACATAGTTTTAATTTTTCCGTTTTATATTAGTTGAATTTTTTTTAGCAATAATTTTTAATTATATATTTTTTTAATTTTCTTTGTTAAGATTTCTTTCCTTTTTTATTGTTTAAGCTTATTTATAATTTTTATTCTTTTGCTACGTTTTTTCAGCACGTTTTTTAAGTGTTAAAAAGTCAGAGTCAAGCTTTCAAAAAAAAAATCATATGTGTGATCAGGTATCAAGTGCAATTGTATGCCTGTCCTATCCGCAACTGGATGATAGCTCCTTTGAGCAGCGTCCATGATATTCTGTGTTGAAAAGAAAAAGAGATGAAAATTCACAACAATAAGAATCGTTGTAAATTTGCAAAAAAGAGGCTCAAGCTTAGCTGATAGAGCGGATCCAGCTATATTTACAATGCAATTTTGGACCTTTTAGAAAAGAAAGAGCTTTATTAGAAGAACCAGCCCAAATATAACAACAGTATTCTATACAGAGAGAAATAAGAGATTTTTAGAGGAAAATAATAGAATCAGGAGTAAGAAAATGGCAAGCACAATAAAAAGAAATAACCTTAGCAGATGCTAATTTAGCTACTATTTATACATATGGTTTCTATGAAAGGTCAGTATTAATTGATAATCCAAAAAGACGTAAAGAACAGGTCTCAGTGAGAGGGTTGCCATTCATTAATATTGGAATTTTGACAGTATTGAAATAGTTGTTTGCTGTAAATAACTGAGTTTTATTGAAGTTAAAATTTACCAGCCACTGCAAGCCCTAATCTGTTACAGAAGTGAGATCAGATATTAGATCAGCTGCCTGTTCTAAGCAATTGAAAAGAGATACTTTGGATTTAAGGTTGTTGGGATAATCATTAATGAAGATAAGAAATAAAACCGGACCAAAGATAGAACCCTGAGGTACTTCAGAAGAGACTAGAAATGAAGAATAGTGTTGGCCTTCAAGGATGACTTTAATAAAGCAGTTAGAAAGAAACAATTTAATAATAAATAAATATAATCTCAAAAACTTTCCCAAAAGACCATTATCTCAAACTTTGTCAAAAGCTTTAGATATTTCAAGATCAATAGCACTAGCCTCTCTGCCTCCATCTAATGCATGATAAAATCTTTCAGTCACAGCAGTTAGCAAGTCAGCCGTAGAGTGAGAAGCCATAGAGCGAGATCAAAAACTGTATTGATTGACTAACAGTAAGTTATTTGACTCAAGATGTGATGTGAGAAATTTGTTGATCAAAAAATCAAAGACCATTCTAATAAAAAAAAGAAGACTGATCGGACAATAATTGGAGGGATCAGAATGTTCACCAGAATTTTTGAAAATTGGAACAGCTAATGTCATTTTCCGGCAGGCAGGAAAACAAGACTCAGTCAAATATTTATTAAATAGTTTTGAGAGAATTGTAGATAGTTCTGGAGAACAGTTTTGTAAGACTATGACGACCACAAGTCGTAGAAGAGTTTAATTGAGATATGACTTTAACAAAAGAAGCTGGAGTGATTTGAATGTCTAACAATGGGTTAATCTATTTAATTGGAATGGAAGGAAGAGAATGGCCATAAGATTCAAGAGTCGAATCAGAAGAAAAGTTCTTTGCAAATAGTTCTGCATTTTCTTTGAGAGAGGTAATAAGATCAGTCCCATGAATGAGAGATGGCTTATTAGGCTTACCCTTGTAAACAACGCCTTTAAAGATTTTCCAAATGTCTCATACATAAAAAAGAGTACAGTCTTCGGAAGAAGGAGAATGATAAAGAACAAAGAAAAAAGTGATAGAATGAAGAAGTGCTAAGCAGTAGCATTTAAAAGAATGGTCAAACGATTCGAACCTAATTTCATGACAATTTGGTGAATTGATGTATATGTATACCCCCAAGCAAAGTATGTCACATGCTTTGCTTTGGAGTCTTAGCGAATCATAGGGTAGTACCCATCAACATTGAAATCAGAAGAAGGAATAGCGGAATTTAAATTAGTCTCACTAAGAGCAAGCAAGTCTAGATTCAACTAATGAATTTTGCAAGTTGTAAAATTCAACTAATGGAAGGTTGCTTCGCAGACCATGAATATTTACAAAAGATATATTAAAACAGTTAGGTGGTGTGGATGGTTTTTTATGTTTAATATTTTGGGTTAGTTTTTCATATTTAATTTTTGGCATGATTTTGGCATGTTTATATCTTTTAAATCTATATAATAACTAATCTAACAACTATAAATTCAAATGATATCTTTCAAATTATACTTAGTAATTTTTTTAAACTTTCCTACATTTGGTTGTTTGGTACATTATCTAGATCTAATAAACACTATTTTTAGAGGTATTTCTTTAAGTTTATTCATTTTATTTTTGATTTTTATATTTTAATAATAAAAAAAAAACACTGGTACTTAAATTTTTTTTAATTTTTTTAAAATAAACAATGATGAATAACCCAATGATGAAATATCACCTTTTTTGTCCTTTTCATTAATGTTTGCACATTCATCAATTTACTAATATCAAGCATAAAAGTTCACAATTTGTTTTATCTTATTTTGATGATGCTATATCTGGAAACAATTGTAAGATTTTTGATGATGTTGCCTTGGAAACAATTGTATGATCGTATTTATGGAAAAAAAACATTTATTTGCAGAAGTTTGTACTAGTTAATCTATCTTCACTTATTCTTACCATAAATATGCCTGTTTGGTGCTACTCATTTATTTTTGCTTTTAAAGAGATTTTTTTTTTCAATTATAAAATTTAAGAATGATCACTTCTGTTTTTTGTGTAATCAAGTTAGTCACTAATCAAGTTAGGAGTTAACGGAAAACAAAGAAAAAAGATAAAGAGCGAGAAACCAATTGAAAAAACACAAGAAACTAAGTAAAAGGTTTTGGCTAAAGTTAATTGTTTTTGACTCCGTAAGTTACCTGAAATAGAGGAAAAACTTGATTTGTACGGTGCAGAGAAAGTCTGCTTTTGTGGAGTATTATAGTACAGAAAAAGAGGATGTTAAAGAAAAAAGATTCAGAAAGCTGATATTAATATAAATGTTACAATTTTGAAGTAATAATAGTGACTGAAATAATAGTGAAGTCATGTTTCAAAAGCGTAAGAGCTTAAGTAAAAATATGTATATAAAGGTTGTGAAAGCAAAGAATCAAGAAACAATTTTTTTTACTCAATCAAGTTGTTTAAGTTAACTGCTTTAAGTTAGAGATATAACTTCTATAGATGAGATATTTTTTGTTTGAAACGATTATGACTATAAGTGATAACTAGTTTGTTTATTTTTTACTCAAGAATGTTTGTGCAATTGCAAATTTAAACTCTTTTTTATCAATTTTCATTTGGTTTTAAATAATTAGTAATTAAATTACCTAAAGTTTCTTACACAAATTTGAATAAATTAAAGTTATATTATTTTCAAAAATTAGTTAATGAAAATTTAGTAGATGGTATAAAGATATAATAAGTTTTACAAATTTTTGCTACTTTATTAACAACTGCTTCTATACCTGATCTTTTAAGGTCTAATCTTTTTTGAAATTGCCTATATATACAGCAATATCGTTCCCTTTTTCAAATGTTTAACTTTTTTGTATGAAGATATATCTTGGTATGCTAAAAGAATTGTTAAACTTATTTTTTGTAATGTGAACCTCCTAATGTATTTAAACGTCAACACGATTGGTTTCCGAAAATTCTTGAATTGTTACTGTAATAGCATATAAGCCGTCAAAACTTTGATGAAAAAACATAAAAGCTTATTAAACACAAAATATTTTTTAGACCTTACAAATAATATTATCGTGAATGTTTACAGAATATTATCATAGATAGTAGGTTATAAATATATTTATTATTTTTTTATGTTATCAATCAAGAGTTAATTCCAAGATCAGCTTATTTTTCTAAAGGTGTGCGACGTTATGGTCAAGACTTTAACGCAATGGCAGAAGTTATAGGAAACAAGAATGAAAGCCATTGTCGTAGTTTCTTCATTAATTATCGTCGACGATTTAATTTAATAGAGATACTTCGAGAATATGAGAAAGAAAATAATGTTCCTCGCTCCAATGATATCTGGGATGAAGAAGATGCTGAATCTATTGATAACAATCTTACTCATCATCAAGGTAATGATTAATTGCGAATCTTCTGCCAAATATTTGTTTTTGTTTTTGCTTAAATTGTTATCCATTAATGTTTTTAACAAGGCTGTTTTTTTCTAGATCAATCGCATCCTCCACCTTTGCGACGTCAAGTCGATCATATACAAATAACAGAATCTCTGAAAGGACCACCCCCTCTCGTAAACAACATGTGAGATTATTAGATTTGCAAATTTAACCAATAATTGAAATTAATGAAAGGTTTTATTAAATGTATTTGTGCTTTGACTAGTTATTTATTATAATAAATTATTTTGTTACACTCAGTCTACCTGTTTGTGCATTATTTAGCAATGTCGTCGTTTATGTCTTATAATCAAATTTATGTCTCACTAAAAAACATCCCAACGAAACGTTTAAAGGCGTAGAATTTTTTTGTATTTTATTTTATTAAAAACACGTACAAAATGAACTACGTAAGTTTTATTGAAAAACCAAAATGAAGGGAATAACTAGTTGTAATTTACTGTTATTTTTTTTTTTTATTAATATTATTAATTTTTATTTAGTATTTTGTGTTGTAAGAGTTTAATTACTATTGAATTATTATTTTTTTAATTATTTTTGCGTATTTTTTTTTATTCTTTACTATTCTGTGCGAATCATGCAAATTTTCTTAACACTTTCTATAACATTTAAAAGATACGTCACAGTTTAAAAAAAATTAATAATTCATTATTGATGGCTGCCTAACTTAAACGCTTCTAATAGTGAATTTGTCAAAATAAATAATAAAAGAATGAAAAAAGTTATAACATGCTTTTTTTTATGTATATAATTCAGACTTATTTATTATACTTAGTTATTCACATATTTGTTGGAAAAGTGAAAAAAAAAATTAGAAATAAAGGTCACGCATAGTTGTCATTAGAATACTAAATTATAATCGATAAGCGATCGGTATCATTAGAAAAAAAAGTGAATAGTCGAGTAAAAGTTAAAATAAAAAACAGTAAACAGGCTGTAATAGTAAAACGGTTACCGCTTGAAAAACATTGATAACTCTACGCGATTAGCAGCAAAAATATCAGCGCTAAAATAACAACAAAAAAAAATCTAATATTGTAAAACATCAATTTCAATTTTACAATAGTATTAAGAAAGATAAAGATTATTTAAAAATTAGATAAATAAAAAGCTCGTTGTTATTGTCAATGTTAAAAAATTAAAAATGAGGGCCCCATGCGATCAAAAAAATTAATGTGTCCCGTTTTGTAGAAATAAATAAAAATGATTTGACCATTTTGTTGAGCATGTACTAGAAAGTGACGCAGGAAGGGGGATAGGGTTATTACCACGTTTACCCCCACAGATTTTTATGTGTTTCGGGTGCCCTGCTGGAGCGATAAATATTTGGATCATTAAATAATTTAAATAAACACTGTGCTTCATAATTTAAGACATATATTCTTATAACAAGATACTATATCTTTAAGAATATAAAAAAGCTTTTGCTTTACAAATTGCTTATAATAGTTTCAAAGCATGGTGCTTTTTTTAGGGTTCAAATGTTTTTATACTGTGAAACCATAGGGCTCTTTAAATTTTTTTATTTTTTTATTTTTATTTTTTTACAGCTTTATCAAGCACTTTAATTTTTTAAGTCATTATTCTTTCTAACAATGTAATTCTAACAATGTAACTTTTTAAGTCATTATTCTAACAAAATAACATTATTCTAACAATATTCAAAAAACAACATATTCTAACAATGGTACTTATTAACAACTAGTTCCGTATCTGGGTCCTATGTGTTTTTAGTTAATGCTCTGATCTGATAACCTCAGCTATTGAGATTATCAATTCAGGTCATATCTTTGATTAAGTTGCACTAAAGAGCATTTCGACGTCACAATCTTTTGTGGCTAAAGTTACTAATTAATCAGAAAATCCCTATGGTGCTTATTGCCAACGTCGACTGTTTTTTCTGATACAAAGCCAATGTCAAATGTTTAGCAATGATATCAAAGGTAAGAATAATATCGATACAATTAAAAACAGCTTGCACAATTAAATTGCTCCAACGTTCGCAAAAACATTGCAAAACTTGATGATTTTTACGAGCTAAACTCAACTTTGATTCAATTTGTGTTCATTGTATATGAATTAACGTTGATTTACTTTAGATAACCCAAGGTTGCAAGCGCAAAATTATATAACTTAATATAATCTTTTATTAATCTTGAAATAGTAACCACAAGCAAAAAAATATGATAAATGTCTGTTGAAGAAATGTTGATGAAACGTTCTTTACTACCGTTCATTTTCATTATTTCCTCAGGAACCTCTGGCGTGGTGCTAACTCACTTGCGAATTGCTTTCAGAGTAGAACATTAATTAGATAATCTAATTAATAGTATTAACTGCTTATTCTTACATATGTGCAATATCTGTCCGCTTTCTCTATGCTATCTTTCTAACTCGACTTTTTTTGACTTTAACTCTATTATTCTTTGTTCTTCATAAACTCACTTACTCTTGGTCTGCGAAGCGAGTTATGATGCTGATTATGGAGCTGAAGTCGTCTTCGCTGGGCCGGGTATTTGGCTCTTTATATGGCAATTAGACGGAGGAGGTTAAACCACATTACCCTTCCTTCCTCTCTCACTTTCTCTCTCTATTATTTTCTAATACCATTTTTGACTATTAATGTAAAATGTGTTCTTTAATTTTTTCAGAAAAAGAAGAAAAAACGAAGAATAATGAAAGAAAAGATTGCAGCCCCATGCCAAACGAAAAGTAAAAAAATGTTTTAAAACTCTGATACTCAAAAATTAAAGCAAAAATTAAAAAAAAAAAAGAAAGATGAAGAAAAGAAAACAAAAAAAAACTTTAGCCAAGAACTTTAATGCTGAGAGCAACACTAAACATTATTTATACAAAAATTGGACTATAGTAACAATGTCTATTCAAAAAGCCCTATAGGATCTTATAAAAATTTGACATAAAAAAAAGGCAGATTCGGCACCCAATAAATTAAAACACATAAATTAAAAAATGATTTCAGTTATCAAAATTTTTGTATTATTGTTGTTCTAAATCCTATAGGACATACGTTATCATTATAATTACCTATAAGATTTTTTGATTTGTATTGAATTTTTATGATGTATTAATTAAATAAAAAGCGAAATTTTTTTTTTTTATTGTTGAAATGTGTTTGTTAAATATTGGCACAGATTTTTAAGATAAAAACTATTGAAAAAAAGTAACAAGAACATAGCATTTTTTACAAAATATAATGATACTAATGATGTTTAGCCGAATAAGGTAGTCGTTATTTTCGGCCTTTTACATACAAATTCTGGCTTAACTCACAGTTAAGTAAGTAAGTCTTTTATAAATAAATAAAGTTTCAATGTTTAAAATGATTTATAAACTATTTATTTGACTTTAACAGGATCACAAAAATTAAACCTTGTGTGCCTAAAGTACTATTTTATAAATAGAATAAACAGAATAAAACAAATTCAAATAATTTTTGTTTATAACGTTTTACCTCACCCTATCTCTTCTGCCACACAATTATGAGAGAAAATAGTATTTTTATATAATTATTAAGTGATAAAATTAAGAAAAAATTAAAGGGCAACAATCAAAATAAATAAAAAATTGTTACATAATCACATCCATTAGGTAAAAAGCTACAGTTAAGAAGACTACTATTTTTTACTCGAATCTGTATTTGGATGAGATTATAATACCCTTGTTTAAAAAAATGAAAACATTTTTAAGTAGGAAACAGAGCTAAATGTAAATGATCATATTCAAAAAGTAAATATCATTACAAAAAATCAATATAAAATAGCAGCATCTTTCAATCTTTCGAACATTTCATATTTATTGAGACACTTCCATTTGCATCATGACACGTCTACATTATTTCGTTTTTTGTGCCTACGTGTTGCATGCGAAACATTCGCTGGAATTTTGTGGGAAAGGATTGGGCCGATTTCAATTATTTTTGACTTCTTTTAGAATAGCCGGAGTTTTATTAAAGTTTAGTTGTAGGCGAGTTTATTGTGGAGTTGACTTTAAAGTTAGTGCAACACTTATACAATTTATCCTAATTTTAGAAGTTGTTGGTGTAGATTCAGAAGACAGTGACTAGTCTAGCTAGTGACACTGGTGCTTGTGGTAGCATTCATAGAAAAAGGTTATTTATTTTCTATTAAAATTTTATATCATCTTATTTAGAAAAGATTCTCCACAACATGATCAAAAAATATCTGCGAAATGTTTATTCAATAAATAAGTAGTAGTAATATTACCGAATGGTTTAGATTAAACAAACTATCACTAAATATTGATAAAACTAAATGGATTCTTTTTCGACCTTATGGTAAAAAGCACCAGCTGCCTAGCAACTTACCGTTTCTATTTATCGATAACATAGTTATTAATAGAGTTTTAGTGACAAGATTTTTAGGTGTATATATCGATGAAAATCTTACATGGAAATGCCACATTGCTAACTTGTGCAGTAAAATTTCAAAGAGTATAGGCATTTTATACAAAATAAAAAACGTTCTTGATAAAAATACCTTAATTCAATTATATTATTCGTTAATTCATTGCCATATCAACTATGCAAACATTGCTTGGGGTAGCACTCAAAAAGTAAACTTAAACCTCTCTATCGGCAACAGAAGCATGTAGCACGCCTTATAAATTTCAAGGACCGTTTTGCTCACGCCAAGCCTCTTTTATATGATATGAAAGCACTCAATATATATGAGTTAAATGTTTTTAATATTCTTTGTTTTATGTATAAATGCAAGACCAACCTATCACCCGTTTCTTTTCGTAACTTGTATTTACAAAGAGATAGAAATAAATATATTCTAAGGAACGATAACTTAATTCGACAACCATTTTCTCAAACTAATTTTGGAAAATTTTTTATTTCATTTCGCGGACCATTTTTATGGAATAGTATAGTTCTAAATACTTCTAAAGATTTTTCTCAAGAATGTAATTTTGATTCTTTTAAACAAAATCTTAAAAAACTCATTTTTTCAACTGAAAATATACTAATCTACTTTTAAATTTTTGAAAATCACTTGTCTATATTAGTATATGAATATATTTAATGTACATTCTTTTTTATTTATTTATTTTTTATCAACAAGCAATTATTTAACATGTTTTATTTTAGTGAATTATTTAACATGTTTTAGTTTTTAAGTTTTAGAACTCTTCTATTGTAATATTGTATGTTTATTTATAATATTATATTACGAACTTTATATACTTTTATTAATAAATTTAATTTTGTAATAAAAAGAAACTGAACAAAAATAAATAAATACAAAGAATGAAAACATTGAAAAAAAAAAAATAATAATAATAATAAAAAAAAAAAAAAAAATTAAAAAAAAAAAAAAAACGTTAAAAAGCGGTTTCTCTGTGACAAGACCTGATGGTCTTCTTTGAGTATCCGCGTTCTTTATATTTATTAATATTCTTTATATTATTATATTATTCTTAACGATATCTTGACTTGTTACTTTTTCTTTTTTTATTTTTTATATTATTTGTATCTGTATCATAAATATTGTAATAAAAAACAAAAAAAAACAAAAAAAAAAAAAAAAAAAAAAGCAAAAGAATTAACACTGTCAAAACAATTTTATTCGATCCTCAATTTCATTCTATCTTCTATTTCATTCTACCTGCTTTTACTTTAGTAAGTATAAAAGTAGTGATAGTAAATATGTTTTAAGCTGTTCTTAAATTACAAATTTTGAGGACTACCTGCTGTTGGTTGTTCAATATTAAAGTTATGTTTATTAAAGGTAAAAATATCTTAACTCATTATTTTTTTGTAAGAATGTTGAGATCGCTGCTCTGTGTAGTTAAGGCGATTTACAAAATATTCGAATACCTTTAATTGGAATTAGCATGATTTTGTCAGCATATTATGTCCAAACAAGATCTTTAAATGCTATAATTTTTTTTGCTCAAGGTTTTTATAATATTTAAAGAAACTTTTTGTTTTTTTTATATAATTTTCAAAACTTTTTTACTACCCGTAATAGTGTATCTAAAGAGCACTAATTTGGAGTCTTTAGATCAATTCCGCTCATTGGCATTAATATGAGTTTAGTTAAAATCTTTTGAAAAAGTTTCTTAATTTACTACTGATCCTTGTTCTAATCGGTTCTGACGTATATTAACTATGTATAGTTGTCAAAACACAATATTTCTATCAATTTTCACAAAAAATACTGGAATCCCGACCAAGAAAGAGCTTATAATTATGGAAAATTGCCAATAAACGATCAAAATAGATCATATTGTTAAACTATAATGTTCATTTCACCTAAAAAACTTGTTAATATAAAATCTTATTTAAATTTGAACGAGCGATTGTGATTTTAAGATAACTTTTTTTAAAAAAAAAAGAATCATCAGTCTGGATTTTTTCGCTACAAACATTTATATTTTATGATACCGCAAAATTTATCATTTTAAGTTTTTTCGTCTTTTCGTAATTCACAGACCAGACCATTTAACGGAAAAATGTCGCAGTCAACAAAATATTATACAGACGCTCTATTATTTTAAAAGTGCCTTAACTACACCGAGTGATAATGCATTTTTTTAAATTTTTTTCTTTTTTACTATTGCTTTATAAAATACCAGCAACAGAGGATGGAATAATTAACTGATTTTTATTGGTTGAACACGATGAAGTTCAGCACTCTATAACTGTTAATTACGCAACTACTTAACAGATTTTTGTAACTTTTTGACACAAGGAAGCTAATTAAATTATTTATTTATTTCAATAATTTTTTACATTTTTCATTGGACGCTTAGATAGAAACCGAATATCTTTGCGAGTGCTTGACATCATCTGCTGGGCCTTGCTTTGAGTTACTTTTTTTGAGGCGGCTATCCATTTTGTTCTTAAAATCTTTTTTATTTGTAGCTAATTTCTTGCTTTTCAATAAGATTTCTTTTATAATTGACCAATAACTTTCAATAACTCGCTGCTCAGGACTATTTGGAGGGTTTGCTTACTTCGGAATAAATTCGACGCCATTTTGTTCATACCATTCTAGAGACATTTTGGAGTAGTGAGTTGTAGCCAACTCAGGTCAAAATATTGTGCGCATTTTATGCTTTTTTATAAATGGCAAAAGGCACTTTTTTAAGCATTCTTTTATATATAAATCTCCGTTCAAAGTTTTAGGAGTAATGTATAGTGTACTTTTTAAATTACAGAAGCTGGTTGTTTGCCATATAAGGATTTTGGGAGCAAACTTTTCAGTTTGAATATAATCGAATTTTTTGGCAACATATCTACCTTTCGACTGATAAAGCTATTGACATGAACTTGACATGAACTTATCTTTAAATTCTTTCTTTTTTCCACTTTTAGCTTCTCTTTCAATAGATTGAGTCTGTTTTTATCTCCGCTAAATCCAACTGACGATTGAGAAACACCGGTCAGTTTTGAAATGTCAACTTGTGACTTTTGAAGGAAATTTTCTAAAACTTTTTTTGATTTAATATTTGTTTACTCATTTTAATCCAATAGCAATGATAACCAATAATTATTAACATTACAATCAAACAACAACACATTAGCTTTTGTGTGCAAAAAAATTTAAAACATTTGTCAAGCAGTTTTTCAGTAATTAACAATTAAAAAGTGCTCAAGTGATGGGTTGAAAGGTGCTGAAAATTTCATCGTGTTCAACCAATAATTTCCAAATATCTAACTTAACATGCATTGAAGTAAAATTGGGAACTTCAGATTTGTTAAAACTTTAAAACTCTGAAATCAGTCTGATAATTTTCTCTTGCACGTTTATTTGTTATAAAGAAACACGCTAGCTTATAAAAACATATTTTCTTAGTAAGATGGCCTCTATCTAACTTATTAGTAAGATGACCTCCATCTAGTTTGTAGACACTTCAAATTTAAAAAAATAGTGTTATAACTTAAATTAAGGTGGTACACCACTAAAAAGCACTTTTTCAATTTAAAATAGGAATAAAACCAAAAACTAATATTTTTCTGATTAAAAATATATAAAAAAAAATATTTGAAATGAAATTTTTTTCTAAAAGTTTTTTTTACATCCATAATGGCGGAAAAACTGCTTTAAAAATGCATAAAATTCAATAACTTTGTGACGTGATATCTTCCGTTATATACATTTTCTCTAGTTCAAACTTAGTATATTGTTGCATTATAATGTTTTATTCCGGTTGACAGATAGATTTTTAATTTAAGGACATATTTTAAGTTTTATTACGAATTATTAAAAATATGCTTGAAATTCTAAGTAACTTGACTTAACATGTGAACTAATTTCTTTATTTAAAAATATTTAAGAAGAATTTTTTAAATCCCATCTGTAAACCGAATTTCTTGAGTATATTGAGTATACCCTGAAAATTTCAGGCAAAAATCATTACCCAATACAAAGATATTATGTTTCAAAGTTACCCTAGTATTACAAAAATGAAAAACTGTAAAAAACACATTTAAAGTTTTTTTCAGTAAAATCTTGGTTAATGTCCACCAGAAACATATGACTGATTAGTTTCATTTAAATTTTGTTTATCACTGAACCCTTTGGTTATTAATCTTAGCTTTTTTCTTTGCTTTATAAACATGGTATTGTGTCGATTTTCGCTTTATTTGATTCACACGAGAATTGTCAAACTGAATAGATGTCATTACTGTTATATACCCAGTCAAATTGAACTCTTTTAAAACATCCAAAATACCCTCACTACTATCATTAAAATAAATAACAGCAGAGTAAGTTCCCATTTCAACTATTTCTCTACTGACAAAAGTGTTTTTTGGAACTCTAGACCATATGAGGGCATTCTAGGACTCATTAGAATTTTGTGTCTTACCATGAAGGCATTTAGATAGCAGTTGATTGCCTTGTAAGCTTTTAAAAATTGGTATTAGCAGGTTTTTCATCCAGACTGGAATTGAATTTGATGGTCAGGGTCACTGCTTTGTTTTACTCCAATACCTGCACCACGCTAGAACAAGAGGGTTGAATAAAATTTAAGGTCTAACAAGATACTTTATTTGGTATAACACAGTTCCATTTTCTATGCTTTTTTCTAGAAAGGTTTTTTTTTGTTGCAAACTTTATATTTTTGATGTAGGTTTTTTTTCCTTCTGAACTCATTTTTATATACACTAAATATAAAGCTAAAGTTATTAAATCATATTAACAAATATATCTCAGACAAAGTAAATATCAAAGTAAATTGATATTACAATGTAAAAGTTACAACAACAACTATTTAAATTGTCACAAAACAAATGTACCTTTAAAGTATAGTTCAAAACTTTACGAATATAAAAAAGAAGCCTAGCATAGCCTAAGCATATTCCATAAAAAAGAAGCCGAGCATAGCCAAGCTTGAGCATAGATTTTAAGGGTTTTTTATTCTGTTGCTAAGACGTTGCTATGGTCAAAATTTTCAATAACTTTAGAAAAATGCATTTTTAAAGTGTTTTATGTAATTAAACAATATTAGATGGTTATATCAAATGAAAAAAGGATAAAATTTAGAAAAAAACGAGTCCAAAAACTTAATTTTGAAAATTTACTCCAAAACCACTGTTTTTTTTAGTGGTGTACCACCTTAACAAAATCTTTATCATTAGAAGCATTTTCAAGAAAAGACTGCACATGTTTACCCCAAATTGCATTAAAAAAAAAAATGTTCGTTTCCGAGAGTTTATGTTATATGTTGTTGAGACAATACATCAGAGTCGTGGCTAGGCACGCTAGCTACACCCCCTCCTTTTAGAAATTTAAGGAGTTTTATTTCTTTTTAGTAATGCCTAGAGGGAAACTATCTAAGAAATCGGGGTGCTAAAGAAGTTTTACCCGACCCACTAGCCACGGCACTGCAATTCATAAAAAAATGTATTAAGAAGTTTAAAAAAATTAAAGACAATCTAATTAAACTCTTTTAAAAAAGACTTATTCACCTTATTTAAAGATTTTAAAAATAAAATGAAAACTTATAAACATTTATTTATTAATAAAATATTTAACTTCGTAACAAAATGTGTTTAAGTTGCATAAGTATGCGTTCACATTTTAATTATTTATTTTGTTTAAGTAATGCATGTCACTTATGAATGCAAAAAACTCGTATTCTCACTCGAGTTATTGCATTCAAAGTTTCATATTATGTGACTGAGTATAAAAAAATTTATCAATAAAATAATTTGTGTTTGTAGTTAGCTCATAATCTTTATAGCTGTGTGCAAATAAAGAATGAAATTTTTTACTTTGTATTACTTACTTTTGGTAAGTATATTATTAGTATTGTTCCTTATATTTGTAATTTCATATTTGAATTTCCTTTTCTTATTTTGATTTATAACATCATTAAAATTTTTTTAACTATATTTAACATAAGTAGTATAAATTGTAACACAAAAAATAAATATAAATAATTAACTTGTTTAAAAAGCATTGCCGTGGCTACTGGGTTAAAGGTCCCCAAAAAATCCTGTTATTAGGGCGCTAAACTCTTAAAATATTTTCCACTATATAGAAAAAATCTAAAAAAAAATTGTTTCTTAAGTTTTCAAATGGGTCACTAAATTTGTTGCCCCCTTCCCCACCCTTATCCAAATGAGGTGTGGGGTAGCCTAGCCACAGCTCTATTAACAAGTTAAAAAAATCCTATTGGGTAAAATCCTGAACAATATAAACAAAATATTAAAAATGCTGCCAATAAAATCTTTTTTAAATAACTCTTTCTAAAGTAATTGGCACCTTTCTGGTGGTAATTTTACCTTTCTGGTAGAAAAGTTAAAAGCAAATCAGTTTAACTATAGTAAAACTGATTTGCTTTTGACTATTCTGTCATAATGTAAATTAAAAATAAAATCGAAGGAGATCTGAGTAGAGTATATTACGAACTTTAAAAAGTCAAGTTTTTTGTTATATCTAATTTTTTTGCTTGTAAATTTTTTTGAAATGTGCTCGAGATGTAATTCTTAAGCAAACTATCTATATAGAGATGGGTTGCATTATCAACGCATCTATATCAAATTCATTTCTAACATTATTTCAAAAACGACTAATTGATTATTATTGTTGAATCCCTTGCAAACAACACAGTTTTACCATTATTTTTTAAATCAATTATAGCAGCTTTGAGTTTTGTACAGAGCATGAAAAAAAGAATTGGAAAATGAAATGAAAACCTTTTTCCGACTGAGAAGTCAATTTAAAGTTAGATAATTTAAGAAATCAAGTGTTTTAAAAAAAGCATCTCAAAATATATCTTCAATTTAAAATATTTATTTTAATTAAGCTTTTATTTCAACCCTCTAGTGCATCAGAGAATCTCTTGCTCTTAACTTTTCCTTTTTGTTCTCAACAGCAACGTTACAGCACTCTGTTGAAATTTAGCGAATAATTTTTTTTTTACAGACCAGCTGTAAGAGTAAGCCTTGCACACTTCAAAAAAGGTAGAATGTTTTGAACAACATTAAACCATGCCTTAACTGGAATTATATCACAAAGTTCATCTTTGATTGTTCTTTTACATGTAACATTTGTTACATGTAAAAGAACAAAGAATGTTATTTGATTTAAAAGGATACTAAATCAAGTGATAAAATCAAAATTGTTAACTCAAAGAAACAAAAAAGAGAGAGAAATAGGTGAGTAATATTATTTTTGGGCTACTGCATCTACAAAAGGTCATCCTAAAATGGAAAAAGAAGAAAATAAAATTGCAATAAATAAGGTAATAAACAAACCTAATGTTAATGTTACCATACAGAATGTTATCAAATTGAAGCCTAAGAATGGTGCTCCATTTATAGTAGTGCTAAAAAAAAGCTAAAAGAAGATTATGAAAATCTAAAGAGTTAAGAGACTCAAAAGAATATAAAAAAGTAAACATCAACATCGATCAAACCTAAACTGAAATATATAATTCAAAATAATTACAAATAATATAAAAGTAATAAAATAAAATAAAAGAGAACACTGCACAGAAAAAAACAATACTAATTCAAATGGAGATTTTTACTACGGTATTAGAAATAATACGGTAGCAGTGACGGATTCAGGATTTTTCTGGTGTTTGAGATAGCTAACCTGCAGACATGGCTCCAAACATTTGTTTGTTTATACTTATGTCAAATAATGAGGCTTTTCAAAAAATTGTGATGATTGGAGGCTGGGAATGAAAAAACCTTTGACTTCACCCCCCTCTTTTACCCCAAAAGTTAATAAAATATTTTTTGGGGAAAAGATTAATACATCTGTCCAACAACATCCGTGGAATAGTGAAATAACATCCGCACATTTTGGTGTAAGATCATCCGCTTTTTTTCTTTACTTAATTAACATCTGTGCAACAACATCCGAAATTTTATTGATGTATAATAACATCTTTAGAAAGATGTAACTACATCCGAGAGTTTTTCTCGATGTGTAATACATCCGCCTAAAATAATGCATTATTAAAAATAAAATAAAAAAAATAAAATAAAATAAATTTCCAGACGAGTTACACCCGAAAAAAATCAAATGTGTAATTACATTTGTTAAAATAATGCATTTTTAAATTACTTTTTTCCTGGATGTAGTTACATCCGAAAAAAATCAGATGCGTAACTACATCTGGTTAAAATATTGTATTTTTTTAAAAAATATATTCTGGATGTAGTTACATCCGAAAAAAATCAGATGCGTAACTACATCTGGTTAAAATATTGTATTTTTTTAAAAAATATATTCCGGATGTAGTTATCTCCGAAAAAAATGATGTGTAATTACATCTGCTTAAAGTAATGCAATTTTTAATTATTTTTTTTCCCGCATATGGGATCGCTGGTTACAGTATACGGTATAGTAAGTTTACCGTATACTTTACCGTATACTTGGTATACTAAAAGTTACTAAACACTTTACTATACCAGTTTTCTTTTACTTGTAAAATATTTGCGGACCGACTTGATGATTTATTACTTACATTATATTAATGAAATAAGTAATTATATGAATAAAATGAATAAATATTTAAAGTTTTTTATATATTTTATCAGTTTACATATACGCTAGAAAATAAGTACAGTAGAATCCCGTTAAGACGGGAATATTATAGTCTGACATCTGACTCTCGGTAGGTATAGAAAGTTCAAGAGGAACTTAAAATTTGTCCGACTTAGTAATAGTCTTTTAAAAGTCTAAAATTTTAAAATGAGTCAAATGGATTCTACTGTATATATAACTTATAGTTCAAAAACTGTTCGTGGCCGAGAGGATAAAATAATTTCTTGCATGCTAAAGACTCGAGGTCCAACTCTTAACATTGTCTTTTTTTTTTTTTAATAAGTTTTTAAAATCTTGTATATACTTTAGTCAGTAAATAGGTTACTAATACAAAGAGATGTCGCAATAGTTCCACCACTTATATGGAACCATAAGGCTGTAATAGTCTTAAAAGATCTGTAATAGTCTAAACTGAGTGTACAATTTGTTATTAACGCCAAGCGTTATAATTTATAATTAATATCGTTTTTATTGGAAGATTACGTTTTGCCCCAGTCTATATTTTATATTTAATACCGTTTTAGTGTCAAACATTTTGCAGAGTATCAACTTAAATTGTACTGGGAGTTAAATAAAATGGGAATTGGCTGGTAGAAAAAGTAGTGTGTCATGATTTGAAACACCTTATACATACCCCCGATAATTTATAATATATTTTAGCTCCCATCTTTTCAATAATAAGAAGGTCTTAGGTAGGGACGGAAAGTTATTAAGGGAAAACACTGCATCATAAATCGACCCTCAGGTTGCAATTTAACCGACTTGAAAAAATAACGCCATCATATAGATATTTATTAATAAATAAAAATTTAACCATTTTAAAAATCTAAGAGTGCATTTTAAGACTGAACGGAGGGGCTCAGAACTTTATTAAAAATATTAATAACAAGAGGGCCGAGGGGCCTTGGCAACTTGCCAAATTTTTATCACAAAATATAAATCTAGCATAAAATATACAAATATATTTAAATTTTTTGTTTACATCCTCCCCTTCCTCCACCTTCTAAAGAAAGAAATATGCATTTCAGTCCTTGAAAGGTACCAAGTTTTTGGGGTGCTCACCCCCTCCCCCTCTCCCTAAGCTGTTATTTTTGCATGTCAGTTTGCAAATTTGTATATTTATCACTTTGAGTTGGTATTATTATTTACTTTAAAACAAGAAAAATTATATATTATTTATATAATTTTTCTTGTTTTAAAGTGAAAGCTATTAAAGTTCCACCACTTGTTGGAAACATCAGGCGTCAATATCTTAATAGAAGGAGGAAATATTTTATATAAGTGCAAGTGAGTGCTAGATAATGTATAATATTTGGACAGATGTCCAGTATTAAAGAATGGTATTTAAGAGGGGAGTATTATTCAGTGATTAAGTTAGAGTTGTGTGAGTGTTGTTTAAGTTAAAGTTGAGTAAGCGTTGTTATAGTATTCCGTATGTATTCCGTATTATTTGTGAAGATGACGGAGAGGGGGAGGAGAGGGGGGAGGGAAATATCTTGAAAAGTAAAAAAAAAAATAAAATATTAATTATGAAATATTTATGTTCAAAGTCAAACTATTTGGACAAAAGTGTGATTCAAGAGAACTTTTATGGGTGATGTTTCGTCCAATTTATATGGAAATACTTAAATATTTTTCCAGACATATATACATCGATGGAAAAGTCCTTGAGACTAGCTTTTGATCGTTAAAGTATTTTAAGAAAAATTTGAATGCAGTTGTGTAAGTAAGGCCATAATATAAAAAAGTATCAAAAAATAATCGAATGTTTCAACTTTGGTGGAGCAGGAAAACTAAATTACAATTCTTTACAATGTGGTCTCATCATTTAATAATGCTATACATGCCCTGACAAATATTTGTGAAAAATTTGGCCGCCCTTTTTCGCCCTTTTTTGAAATAATTGATATTTAGTGGTGCAAGGTCCTTGTAAAATGCCCTTCTTCTACTACTGTTTTCAGTAGCAGATTCAATTTTTTTAATTTTTCAGATTAGATTTTTTAGGGCAGTTCATAAACTTTTTAAACTAAGTTCATGCTTATTTCAAAATATAACATTTAAAAAAAAAAAATACTTTAATTGGAGCCTCCGGACAAAATACATCAAAAAATTTACCGCCCCTGGCTCAAACTCCAGGACATTGAGTTAATAAAATATTTAAGTTGACAATCTTACACTAAATTTAAAATCATTTACGGGTTTTAAATTTTATCTAATAATCTTTAAGC